TGATTTTATATTAATTTATTATTTATAAGATTAAATTTATTTATTAGAATTCTTATAAAATAAAATATAAACTTATAGAATTTATTTATGATTAACCTCTAGTGAATTTCACCATGCAGGGGTATACCCAAATTAAACTCGGATCTATTTGGTAATAATTAATTTTCGGTATTTATGTATGTATGTACGTACGTATGTAGGTGAATTTTACCGTAAATACAGTATATCTCCTGCATATACTCTGGGTTAAATATAAGTTAAGGATATACCCAGGTACACAAAGTCAGACTTTTATGGTAATTATTTCATAAATACAAGAAACCAACGTGATTAAAACTGTGATCAATTTTCTTTCAAGTACTTCACGATCTATTTGGGGGTAATATTTAATTTCTGAGATTTATGTATGACATATGTAGGTGAATTTCACCATAAATAATATTACGTAATTATTTCATTAAATACAAGAAACCAATGTGATTAAAACCGTAATCAACTTTCTTTCAAGTGCTTCACGAAACCGTAAAGACAAAATTTGCGCCAAGAAATAATAAGTTGGTCAGTAAAAATTAGAAATGAATTATCAAGTAAGCAAGTGAATCTTATACAAACCATCAGCTTAGAATTTGGTGATGACTTTGCATAGCAATTTTAATAGATGTAGATTGGGACTCATTTGTAATGCTTCCAGATATATTCAATGATATAAATTCTTCATCACTTTCTGACAATGAAGATAACGATATTATCATTAATAAAAATCTTTATCCATCACTTTCCAACTATAATGACAGTGTCAACTTTAATACAAACCTTTTATCACTTGCTAAATATAGCAATAATCATCTATCATTTTCTATATGTGGTGATAACTTTATCTGAATATGTTGATAATGTTGATACAAATATTCCATCGCTTTTTGAAAATAGCAATAACTCTGGTGATATAAATGCTATTAATTATTAATATAATCTTCGTGTAAGAGATCTTTTTGATGATTGGCAATCAGTTGATACGTTTGTACACAACTATTGCTTAGAGAGAGGTTTTGGATATCAAACATTCCGTAATGATAAAGATCCAAATGATCCTACTATAATTCATCGCAAGTCTTTCTATTGCTTATCAAGTAGTATCTACAAATCTCGCAAAATAATTGATCAAAATTCATATCGTGTATAGGGTACTATAAAGACAAATTGTGAATAGCATTGCAACTTCACATTTCCTAAAACTGCACATCAGATAAAATGTACGACATTAGAAAGCAAACATACTTATGAACTAAATCCTGCCAAAATATCTGATGTTATTGTTAGATATCGGCATTTTAGTGATGATATGATACAAGACATTGAGTTTTTTTAGATTGTAAAGTAGCGCCAATTACTCAATTAGAAATTCTTAAAAAAAGTATCCACAGCATGTATTTCATAAGTAAGATGTCTATAACATAATTTATAAATAACGTCAAAATGATAATGAGAGGACTGATTCTGTTTTATTTCTTGATACTCTTTTTGAAAAAATGTTTCAAGACCTATATATTCGACACTTCGGTGCTGAACGTCGCTTATCAGGTGTTTTTTGGATGTCACTCTCTCAACAAGAATTGTACCAGCGCTTTTCTGATGTAGTACTTAATGATAATACATGTAAGACCAATAAGTATAACATGTATCTGAGTATTTTTATGATAAGAGACAATTATGACAGATTTTGAAATGTAGCAAATGCTTTGGTGGAGAATAAGCTTTCTTTGACATATATTTGGATTTTACAGTATTTGGCAAAAGCAACAAATAACGTTGTTTCAAAATCTTTTTGGACTGATTCTAAGCCTGGTCTAATAAATGCAGTATCTCAAGTTTTTTCAGATATATGTTATTTTACTGCTTATTTCATATCTGGCAAAATATAATCAAGCATCTCAAAGCATCTTTGGGTTCAAATTTCAATAACTTTATTAAGGCTTTTTATTCGTGTCGAAATTCGTTAAGTGTAAAAATTTTTGAGCAATAGTGGAAATTCATGATAAAAACATTTCCAGCATGTGAGAGTTATATGACAAAAAAATTATATCTTAATCGGATTAGTTGAGCCAAAGTCTATACTCTATTATAATTCGACACTAGTATTTAGAGCATGCAAAGCATCGAATCATTTCATAGTATTATTAAAAAATCTCTTAACAAAAAACTCTCTCTCTCTCTCCACCATTTTTTAAGTGAAGAGTTTAGGAAAAAACACAATGACAAACAAAACTACACGCTCAACCCTCAAAGTAATAACAAGAATCAAGTTCCTTGTTTCCAAGAAACAAAAGCAAGGGTGCTTAAGCATGTCAAGCTCTACAATAACAGGACAGAACAGAAAAATCAAAAAGGCCAGAACTTCTAATGCAAAGCAAAATAATATTCTCCCAGATCTGAAAGAACTTAAAGAAGCCTTGGATTTTGCAGAAACAAGTCAACATTTAAGTCAAAACATGGACAACAACTCTTATGATAAAGAAAACTCAAAGCTACAAGATATAACAAATATAGCCGCAAACAATAAAGGCAAAGAGAAAGAAATATC